ACACACACACACACACACACACATACATATATATATATATATATATATATATATATATATATATATATATATATATATATATATATATATATATACACTCACACTCGCGTATCTCGTGAGCCGACTAATCAATCGCGTGCGTTGCACTATCTCTCTAGAGAAAACACGATATTTATTTCCTGCCTCACCTAAGCTTCGCTGAAACCTTCTTTGACGAAGATCCCCGCGCAATCAAGCGGGAAAGTAGGAACGAAGAGATCGGTGTTTTATACTCATTCGTTTAAAACCGCTGACAAATCGCTGAGCAACAAAGAAAGAGTGGTTGTCGAGCGTGTACGCATATTCGTCTGTCTTGGACGACGATTTATTCGTAATCTCAGGTAAAACGTGCACGTGGTGATTGTATCCAGGGGAGTCGTAGGGATTAGTTTCTTGTCTTCGCAGTTTTTACCGTCCTTAATTTAGAGAGCACGGTACACGATCGAGATTTGCCGTTTAAATCATGAGAACACTTTGGAGACAACACTCGCAATTTTTACCGGTTGAACGATATCACGATGTAATCATGTTTGTCACGACTCTTTATTCGCTTACTCAATCGCGATGGATAGTCTGTGTCGCAGTTACGAGTCCTCGTAACTGTCTTGAACTGTCTTGGCTTCCGCTTCTTTCTCCGGTACGGTGAATAAAAAGAGGAAGAAGCGGATGTTACAGGCGATTTCTTTTGCATCACGTTTTATCGACCGCTCTCGTGAAATACCTATCCGCGAAGGTATATGTAGCAACTGTATATACACACGCGACTCACAGTGTTTTATGACCTTAGGACATCCTTCTATCACGATGTGTGATCCCTGAAATCACGAACGATCATCCCGGCGTTGCTAAGTCTTCCAGTGTTTTAGTTGACGCGCGTCTTTTAGTACTTAAGTTCGCGGTTTCCGTCACGACCCCGTCACACGATCCGTGGTGTAACACCCTGGCATATATACTTACGTAAGAAACATAAAAGTCACTCTCTGTCGATCATCACTGCGACAAACACAAGCAGGAACTGCTGGGACCAGGACCAAGGGAGTTACACGAAGTTTGTAACACTGAGGATACAAAATAAAACAAACGTGCTCGCAATAATAACAACAAAACTACAAAACAACAACAACAACAAGCAGAACAGCAGTACAGCCACAATAACAATAATGTATTATAATAATAGTGAAGTAACGAGTAAATAACGTTGTAAAACAATAATCAGATTAAACGATCCTGCTGATCACGTTGGTCACGAGGACACTAGTGGTAATAACGATAATTAAGGTGAATAGTAACGACGCTAACACAATCGCGTAACACTAATAGCATTAGCAGCAGCGAAAGCGGCAATGGAGACAGCAGTAGCGGCGGCAGCAATAGCAGCAGCGACAGCAGCAGCGACGACGGCGGTAGCAGCGACAGCCGGACTGGTTAACGATGTTAGCATTAGAGAAATTAACAGTAGAGAGTAGCGCTAACGACTATGATAATAATAAATAATAGGTGTGCTTCTCACGCCGAATAAGAGAATGAGAAATTTTGCACCGAGGCGACCGTATCAATAAGAAAATGTTGACAGGAAGTGACGATTTCGCCGGAGATCTCATCATCGCGCGCTCGCTTGTTGTCTAAGTCAAGATTATAATCCAACAGTGATTCGTCCGAGGTAGACTGTGAATGTACATTTAGGGGTATCACTCTTTGATAGCGACTGTCGACAGTGGTCGGGACAACTCTTTGCAGTTAGAAGTGAAGACTGGCTCTTGAGAGAGGCACATCGTCTACGTGGGAATTATTATTCTCCAAGAGCGACTCCTAGTATAAACACCAACTATAAGTAACGTAACATTAGTGTTATAATTTTCCACTCAACAATGTAAGTGCAATATATATAAGTGCGTGTGTAACAGTTACATATATATTGTTGAGTGAAAAATCATAACATTGAGATGTAATGTCACTGTTAGCGTTGGTGTTTATTGGGTTCTTGTTATCTATACACACACGTACACACGCATGTCCAACATATTCACATATATACGAGTCGTGCTATACATGTATAAAAATTTATACACATACATATATATATGTAGAAAGTTACATAACAAAATGTTTAAGAAAGTTCAAGGCTCATTCAAGGTCCGCATTCTGATGGTGCGTTTGGCGTTAAACGTGGCTGTTTAATTCTGAGCTTCATTCATCTCACGCACGAAGATTTCTCGTATTATTTGAGGTGAATTGAAAGTTGAATTCTGATTGTGAGGTTGATTAAATTGATATTTTATTGAAAATTAGACACGGTTACACCAACCGTGAGTGGTAAGTAAGATAACAATTAAAATACGTGTTTGCCTTTGTTTATTTTAAAGAAAAAACGAAGACAGACATATGATTTAATTACTAGTCACTTCATCACTCGACTGGTGTAACTGGCCCTTAGACAACCTTAGGGGTACGTTTAGCGCTAAACGCGCGACCCAGAAGACGCACCTCTCCGACTCTCGAAGGCCGCTGTGTTCTTCACGTATCATTCATCGCACAAAGTTTCCGTTTTCCGTGCCGGTATGTGTGTGTATGCGCGTGTGACTAATAGATAGCTACTAATAAATAATTAACACTTGTGAGAAAGATGCTTCGCGAGCGAATCGCATATGCGATTGTCTCGATGAGGCTCGCGTCTTTTGCGACTTCCTGCGTTTGTGAATGACGAAAAAGACGATATTCTGTTTAAAAGAACAGATCCGCTTTTGGTACTGACGCACGTACGCTGAGAAAAAATACTGCCAAATTTACTTCTGGTATGTAAAGTTGACTTCTATGAAATCAAGTTTATCTCTGAAAGAAACTTTATGTCTCAAAAATAAATTTTCAATTTATTTTTTCTCAGTGCATATATACATACATACATAGATACAATAAGAACGTGCACGTCACAGGCCGTAGCTCCATGAAAGCAAACGATACTTTGGTACTTGATCGATAGGTAATCAGTGTACATAGTAATCGATATGACGTTACGTAAGAGCGTAAGTTAGCCGTAAAAGAGGAGAAGTAGACGTCGAAAACGAATAATGAGTCACATGTCGCGATTCATGTCTTGTTAATTCTGTCGTGTACGATGTGTATATATGTGTACAACAAGGCACAGTGCCAGTCTCGCATGTTAAGGGCGGCCGTTAAAGTTTTAGGGGTGAAACAGAGCCGGGGTCGATAGCGAGCCGTATGTAAAAGCGGGCGGATGTATATCGAGCGTCCGAAGCGCGAGAGAGGAAGAGAAAGCGGATGCTCGTCGAAGCTGTCACAAGAGAATATATTATGCCGTATAAGGCACCCATTCATATCTCTAAACATTAACGAATCTTGTTAAGTCCGTTGTCTTTGTTGGCGTTTTCTATTAATTATGCGTTCTCTCGATTATACGTGTGTTAACGTTGCATTTTCGACGGCGGTGATCCTCGACCGATGCAACGGTGTTCGTTACGCAAAGCGAACATTTCGACGAAGCACTTTTTTTATTTTCGTTTTGGGATTGTTATTAACGCGAGGGATTGCGTCCCGAGAGGAATTCGCCTTCCCGCGGCTTGAGAGTTCACCATTGCGATTGCGATATCGATTATTGGGTATTTGAGGCTTTCGCGGTGCGGGGAAATGTTGGACTCGACTTATAAGCTTGAAGCCGTGTTTCTCGTGGATTTGTTTCCAGCGATTCGCGGACGTTTCAGTTCACTCGCTATTATTTCGAAGACGCGAGATTCACGCGTGCCGAGTGGTTTCTCGTTGCGCATCGCCGACATACTCGTGCGTTCCGATGAGAAAATTAAAAGTATGTGTTACGAATTAGAAAGAAAAAAAAAAGGGAAAAGAGAAAAAAGAGAAACGAGCGTTGTATAAAAATGCAAAATCGTATCTGCGATCGCGAGAATAGTCCGCATGTTTCTGTTTAGATGGTTGTTTTCGCGAAAGATATTCACTAACGACACAATTGTGTTCGGAAAAAAAATATCTCACTTAGTTCTATCGTATTTATTTTCTCTCTCGTGGCGATAGAATGTTCCAAATGCCACGTGCGAATTTTCTCATATTCTCGTTGTCACTTTTGCGATCAGTGGTATGATCCATTTTCTCAGAGCTTGAGTTTCTGATTTTGATAAGCGCAATTTCGATATCGCGATTCCTCCTGACTTAAAGATATCACCCTCGTCATCGTCGTGCGTTCCATCGCATAGATAGGAAAGATTTCGGATCCTCTGCGAGTGATAGCGAATTATTAGAAGAGAGACAAACTTTTATACGCGCAAGATGTTTGAGCGCCATTATTCGCATATTACACGCGGTACATTCACAATCAAAGCGCCCCTCTTCCTCTGCATTTCACGAGATCGTGCGTGTTGACGACAATTGTGTTGTCATGGTGATAAGGCAAAAGATACCCTCTTTCTCGGTCGATCGATCAGACTATCGGCTGGACTGTCCGGACACGATAAATACGAGATAAATACGAGATAATATAAGAGACCGGCGCGGCTAATACACCTGTTGTCGTCGCTGTTGTCTTTTACCTTACCACGAGAGCGCGAACCTCATCCATGTCAAAGTACCGGATCAAAAATATCGTATTCACTCGAGTGTGTGCGAGCACGAGCGTGTGCGCGCATGTCGTTTTATATATAAGTGTTATTATTAACTATATTCTCTCTCCAGATCGCGTAGATAGAACCGATGGCTCTCGCGAGCGGAGCTGGGAGACCGAGAGTACTTATTAATTGACTATAATTACTAGAGCGTGTGCGTGTGGATCGATAGGTCGCGCGAGGCCTTCCGAGATTGTAAATAGTACAACTATTTAATACCGCTTATACATATATATATAATATACATATGAACCTAGATTTTTAAACGAAACTGTGATTTTTTTTACGTTGTAAGGCGCTTTCGATCGCTGTTTTATTTTATAACTCTCTCCCTCTGAGTTCACCGAGTTTAGCCTACCGCCGAGTGTAATTAGGAGCTTCTACAGGCTTATTAGACATTAATATGTGGTGCATTATACACTGTCGGTCAACAGTTTGAGTACCGTAGAAATTCAATTCGCCCGTTGACATTCATGATTGGCTGTTCCTGGGGAAGACAGGCGGGAAATTATCACCGCTGAGTAGTAGTCATATTAGGATCTTAGATATGATATTTTCGTATGAGTGTTGGCGAGCGTGTCGTCAAGTGAAGTATAAAGTGATCAAATAATGAAGTATAATGAAAACACCACAAAAGCCTATTGACGAATTACCGATGAGAGTGTCAGAAAATTGCGTCTCTTGCGGTTTTTACCAACACTTTTGATATTTGTGTCAACAAGAGGAAAAAGAGGGAAAGACAGAGGTCGATTTTAAATCAATTTATCATTTCTGTTGAAACGTTATTCGACGCGAGATTCAAATAGATTTACTCAAACTATTGGCTGTGCGTGATAATGTATATTTTTCAAGTTTCTCTTTTTTTTACATATTATTTGCGTTAAGGGCGTTTTTTTCTTGAACGCCAGCTTTAAATCTCGTCATGTTGTAAATATATCAGGTGACTTTCGCGCTTTTCTGAAGAATGCCAACACCGAAATTCAGTTCGAGATCTTCCAGTAGCGTTCGTTGTAATTCCGGTGGAATGACGAAAATTCTCGAGCGTCGGACACTCTCCTCCGGCAGATCCTCGCAATTGTACTTAGTACGTGTACAATTTGTAAATTGCGTCACTCTCGTCGCAAGGATGCCTCCTCATGTGCAGGCGGAGGTATACTTGAATAGATTTGCAAATACACTTTGTAAGTTATCGTAATAATTACTCGATATATTCTGTCGATCAATGAGCGTTAGAACATAGGAGAAGATCCGTATTTATTTTAAACTATACCCTGTATACTGAGATATCACACAGCATGGTACCTGTCGATATTGATTGAGTTCACGTCGATGATCACGAGTAGCGAGCGATTGTCGTCTCATTGATGTACAGAATTCTAACGAAACCCAGTGAGGTTTTCTTTTCGAATAATAATCGTCACGAGAAGGAGAGAAAGAGAGAGAGAAAGATAAGGGAGGGAAATGCTTCGGACTGTAGAAAATTGTGGTTTCTATAGGAGAGGTGTAATAAAGAAGGACATGGAAAAACAAAAAAAAAATATATATATATATATACAAAAAACGCGCTCGCGTCCTTTTTCTTTTCGAATGTGCAATTAGGGAATCAGGTCGTGTGTAAACGCTATTATCGATTTCTTTTCCTCGTGGATCACGCGAATTCCGTGCGTGATCTCGTTGCGACGGACACTCGTTCGTATCTACGAAAAATATCCCGTCGACGAAATTCTGGTAACAAGATACTCTTCGAGCGAAATTCTCGTCTCCATCATTTGCACGACTTAGTGTAATTAATAGCGAAACTAGGACTCGTAATCGTAATGATTCCTCGATATCGATACTCTGATTTCACCGTTGCCTGCGAATGTGCGTGATTGCGATGACAGACTGTAGATCTTCTTGGTTAGTAGTCTCTTGAAATTTCAAGTATTGCACTTTTAAATTATGCATAATGAGAGTTGTTTTTACGTGCGATTACGTGAAATACACGTGTGGAAAATTGTAACACAACGTAGATCACGAGTAAATAAGTTGCATCAAGACTGAGCAGTCTAGTAATAATAACACGCTGATAAATTGATTTCAACAAGTGATCTTGTTTGTCTCTTTTATAAAGAAGAAACCAGACTCGAACATCGCAACCGGTTATGATGTCTAAGGGATGTATTTCCATTAAAATCTATCTAATACACTTCGTTTCTATCATAATTGTTCGACATTATCATCATCATCATCATCGTCATTATTACCGTCACGATCATCATTATCATCCTCTATGTCCAGAATGACAACAAATGTAATGTAATACAATAGTAATTGTTATCTTCTGTGCTATACAAAAGGAAAAATATACATTGACATATGATTACAAGACTTTTGATCTTCTTTTATTTCCCCGGCCTGTATTGTTCTAGTTTAGTAAAAATTTTTCCAAAGAAAAGAAAACGCTACAGTATGTACAGTTTCCTTTATAGAAAGATCAAGATTTTCTAGAAAAAGTTGTTTGCATCTTCTAATCCAAATCTTTCACCAATTCTCATTCCGACTCCAATTCTAACTAAACAATTTGATCTCCAATTCTTCAGTTCTGATTCTCTGTTCTTTCATTTTTTAATTAAAAGTCTACTCGTTGGCTTGATATTATGTTTAGTGGTATTGTAAACGAAACGGGATAGTAACGGATTGCGTGATGGAGGTGCAACAAACTGAGATTTATAAGTTGACAATCAGTTTTAATAGTCGCAATAGAAAACAATATACAGAATACAGATACAGAATAATCCTAGCTTGACGAAAGGCTCCTAGATAAAATGTTGTTAATTGTGTAGTGAAAAATTATGAATGGGGGAGAAAATAAGATGATACACGTAATGAGTGGCTTATTTTTACCTATTTGCTTATCGGTTAGTCGTTTACCTAATTACAATGATTGAATCGTTAATTATAATTATGTCTGTATAGACACACAGGTGTGTATACGTAATAGAGATTCTTAAATGCTACACAATGTTGCTTTACTTTGGTTTTAAATTAAGGACTAGCGTGTTGTGAGCTTCGCTCCGCCTTTATGTATTCACGTATTAAACCCCATTTACATCTCGTTCGAATCGAATTACAAAATATTGGCAGTTGTTGTGAGAAAGGAATCACGCCGTTCAATTTCTGCGAGATCCCGCGCTAACGGTGCTACGATAATCGCGACATGCGAGTGAGATCGCGTTAAAAAGAAAACAAGACCTGTTCTTTCTAATGAAAGAAAAAAAAAGTAAATGCGCGCGGTGGTGTTTAACTTGATTGGTGTTTCGTGTATTTCGAGAGCGTTCGTCAAGATGACATCGACGCTCATCCATCAGGCAATTTTTGCGACGAGCACAGTTCCGATAATAAATCGCACGAGTGCGTCTCAAAACAGTCGCAAAGTGCGTTGCGCGTAAACAGTTAACAAGTCTCTCCATTTCTCGTCTCTTTGTTTCCTCTTACATTATTACGGTTTAAGTAACGTGGTGCGGCGAAGGCACAAGGCATGTATTTGTTGAATGTTGTACAGCAGCGTGCTCGTATATTGTGTGTGTATGTATGCAGGTATATATGTGTGTTTGTATGTTTGCGGATATACATGGTATGGGGAGTTAACAGAGAAGAGGATGCTGCTGAGCAATAACCGCTGCTTCGTGTAAATGCACTTTTGTACGAGATACACGTTCGACGGGACCGATGACGGGACTGAACGACGTCGCGATCGATACACAGACGACAAAGCGAAGCTCACAGAGTGTGTATTTGTATGTGTACGCAAGTATATAGCGTGGGTGTGTGTGTGTGTGTGTGTTTGTGTCTATATGCGCGTTGTATTAGTGAATGAGTGTGTGCGTATGTGTGTGTATACCATTTAGAATTGGAAATGTAATTTAGAATTAGAATGTAAAAATACTATGTATATGTACATTAATCAGTAATCATGGGCATTCAATTATGTTACACCGTATCCGATCAGAGAGCTTTTCCTTTTTTCGCTTTAATTCACGTTTGTCTCCTTTCTGCCTTATCTTCTCCTTCTTCTTCCTCTTCCACGTCTTCGTCTTCTTACGTTCTTTCTTTCTTCTTCTTCTTCTCATTTGATGTATCTGTTGTACTCGGGAAAACAGCGCCGGCCGCGCTTCGTAGAAAATTTCCGTTGAAATCTCGAACGGTCGTCGGCCGACGTCGGGTTCTTCGTCTCGATTCTCCACACTCTCTCTCTTCGTTTTTTTCTTTGCTCTATGTTCTTTGTTTAACATCGTACGGTATTTTACACACGTCGAAGAACATCAATCGATTGGCACATAAAACGGAAGCAACATTTAGACCAGTCGCGGCGTAATATAGTTACGTACCTTCGAAAGGGGAGGAGTACAACATACTTTCGTAATTGGCGCAACGCTCACGGCACAAAGGGGTTAAAAATTATGTCCCTACGCGTGAAAAAGTAGAAGCCTGGTCACGTAAAAAGGATCCCTCGCGGGAGGGGGATCGTATGAAAAATCGTGCGACGCGAAGACGCGATGTGGAACACTGGCGATATCAATTTTGGAACGGATAATTTCGCGGCGTCGCGCCCTCTCAGCGCTCCTTTTTTAATCCTGATATCCTATCGTTTCTTTCCTTATTTTTTTCTTTTTTTTGCCTATTACTCCCTTCGATGCTTCCTCGATTCGCCTCCCGAGACCCATGTGTCGTTGAACGTTCTCTTCCTCCGCGATTTTTCACAAACATTTTTCAAAACACAATGACGCTGTCGCTAATTTCTATTTATCGATATAATCGCCGATAAAAAGAACGATACAAAGTGAATACAATACCAATATACACCTAGTACAAAAGCTCTCGATTCGTTTTGTGTTTCTCTTCGTAGTTTGATATAATTCGTTAAGTATTCTTTCTCTTTTTTTTTTTCCTTTCGTGTCTATCTAAGTGCTATGTACATATTATATACGTATATATTTATATATGTATGTATATATATACATGTAAAACGATTAATTGATTTCCTTCTTCCATATCCTTAATGATTGTATAATTAGGATTGACTATGTCTTAGAGTAATCAACGGAATTTTATACGAGTTATTATTATGTAAAATATCAAATATCGTACTGTTTAGATGGTATGTCCATCTCCAAGGTACCATTTTGGACGAATAGCGGTCCGTCTAACATGCCTAGCACTTTGATGAGCAAATACTTTGGAGATTACATAAATCTAATAATCTTCAGGTAATATTAAGTATAGATGTGATTTGTTTAATTACAAATATAAAACATGTATATGTAAATAGAACTCTTAATTATGCGCGAACATGTTCTCTAATTGAGCATACGTGAATTTCTTATCATCAGTCTAAGCCGAACTGTGCGGCTCCATACACAACGGCGGTTAACAATACACGTCTCTGTGTTTCTCTCTCTCTCACTCTCTCTCTTCCTTTCTTCCTCTCTATCTTTCTCTTTCACTTTTTTATTTATTTATTTCTCTGTTTCTCCCTTTTCCTTCTTTAAGCTTTCGTAAAATCTACCGTAACAAATAATCGCTGTAATTGAAACAACAATACGCGTACGCTACGGAAAACGTTATCCATAAAACTTTCAAACAATCTCCCGAGCATGGAACGCACGTGACCGCCGGGTAAAGTATAAATTGTCTCCTACACGAACAATTCCATCCGCAGGCTAAAGTGCAGGTCCCGTAGAGCTCGTCCGACCGACTTTCGTTTTTGTCCTGTTTTTATTACTCTATGCTTTTCTCAGCGATCGCACGCACGGAGGAAGCTTTATCGTTAATAAAAGGATATCCTCCTTGCGATCTCGGGGCGAGCAACGAATTTCACACAAGCGCGGCGAGAAATCATAGTTGTCGTTATAATTAATCGCGACGACGAAGTGCACTATTTATATACGATTGTTTATCGGCGACGCGATGCTACACTTGAAATCGTGATCGTGATGAAGACGACGCGACGCAGCTGCTGCTGAGACCTGCACTTCATTGTCACAGCCCTTTACCGCCGGCGCGGACGTATCGTGCGTTACATGACTCCCTCGTAATAATACCTTCTTCTTACAGTAGGCCAAACGCATCGAGTTTCGTCGTCGTTTTCAAAAATATACGCTGACTACTTAGGCTTTCGACGAACGGAAAGACGTTGTCTCGTCCAATATATAACCGGGATAATTCTTTCTTTTTGTTATTTTGTTATTTTTCTCTTTTCTTTCGTCTTATTTCTCTTTCTCTTCAGATATACAGCGTGTGTTATACCTTCTAGCATACTTCGTTTATAGCCTAGGTATAAGTGAGACCCTCATATGATCCATTTGAATTACTTCGTTTCGCATTTTTCTCTTTTTTGTAATTTTTCTCTCCCCCCTCCCTCTCTCTCGCTCGCTCTCTCCCTTCCCTCTCTCACTCTCTCTCTCTCTCCCTCTCTCGACCGTGTGAAACATTGAGACGTATCGCACTATGTACATGGTTTTAATCATAATCGTAATGGAAATAAATGCAAAAATATATGTATATGTATGAACATTTAGTCGAGCTACGAGCTATCCGCGCTTTCGATCGTCCGCGCGAATCCGCATACAGCCGTCCTGCCCGATGCGGAGAATCCTCTCTCGCGCAGCCCTCCCGACACAGCCGCCGCGCCGACAGAATTCTTTATTTAATTCTAAAAACTAAAAACCATCGTAGCAATTAAACTTATGTACTATTGTCTTTGTTCAAGATATCACTACGCCAAGACATTCACTGGTATGGCTCCCCCGTTCTCGCGTTTTTCTTGCACACACTCTCTCTCTCACTCTCTCCTCTTTCTCGTTTTCTCCCGTTGATTATGTTACGATGCCATCACATCTCTCCTGGACACGTCCTCTTCTCGCGTGAGACGATCCGGCGATCAACTCAGGAGATCGCGATCGAATTGTCGGATCTCAACGACTCGCTCGAAGTCGTCCTGGCCTCGTCATGCTTGTCCAAATTTCTCGGAGTAAAATCTCACTCGAAACAAATCAAGCGGCAATGGAAATACTGCCACTCAAAGTTACAAGAGAGAATTGAATGTTTCACTCGAGCTCAGCGTGAGTTCTGGCTCTGTACGAGCAAATGTTACAATTGATTGAAGTAAAATTGTTCGTCCGACGGTGAGGCACGTCAGATTCGCTCTTCAATTTCGAGTGAAGATATTCACTCGACGATCCTGAGTGGAGGATTCACTCTACAGTGAAAAACAATTCAAATTCGAGTGGCCACTCGGCTGTCACTCCGCTTCTCGAGTAAAATTTCTCTCGAAGAAATTTGGATAGTAGCGCGCGATCGATTCGCGACTTTATAAATTCGCACGATTATAGGAGACATGCTCAATGTACACGAGCTGTCGATCCGCTCGTGTTCACGTAGCGAACGCAAAAGTTCGAAGCATCTCCGAGAAACCGAAGTTACCAATAAAACACAAACGTATGTTTAACGTACGTTTTAACGTGCGACCGAGCGTGTGTGTGTGTGTTTCGCTCACGTGTCTCACACCGATTAACGTCGTAGGAGCATAACACGACGGATGGTCGTTCAATAATCAATGCGTGTGTTTGTTGTGTGTGTGTGTGTATGTCGCGTATACGTGTACACATATTGCGCATGTAAAAGGGGTAAAAGTATACTTATATAGACAGTAATACGGTCAATGAACTACCTACGGTATTGACTTCGGGTTCGGCAGTGAAGACTCCGTTCTCTATGTACGTCGGGTTCGCTTATTTTTCGCAAGAGTTACGCAAGTTACTCAAGTTACTTGAGGAACAACGATCGCAATGCACGCAACATAAGCAACACAAGTGATTAATGCGGGAGCAATTAAAGCGTGAACGCGCTAGTTATGATATGCAAATGCGTCTACGTTGCAATAGTGTACTCGACATATACGCGTTCGTGTCCCGGGAACTATTTTTTTTTACTCGAGGGTACCGCACGTGGCTCGAGTCCACGTGTAATCTTTCTCTCTTTCACATATAGGACAGCCTGAGCTCGACCCGAAGGTGGCAGTCAAGAAGTATTGAAATCGAGATTTACATCTTACAAGATATAAAGAAAAGTTAGTAAAGAAGTTTTACGTTTGCGGAAAAGAAATCCTCCAGTTCACTAAGTTATCTCAAAGTTTCAAGGCAGTGTAACATATCAACCGTCGCATTTATCACGAGGAATACAATTTCGTTCCTTCCCTTCTCGGGAAATACGTAGTAACCGAGGCAATTATTGCGGGGATTACAATCTTCCCTCGTGACGATTGGCTTCAGGCTCTCCCACCTATCCTCCTAAAGATCGTGAAATCTCGAACACCCCTGTGAAATACGAAAGAGACGGACTCGTTGGGTATTCTCGTCATTTAGCACTAAGTGTGACTATCCAGCACTAAGCGTCACTGAGAGGAAAATGTTGAGGTTTGAGAGCGGATCGTGCACATTTAGCGCTAAACTCGACCATCTAGCAGCGGTGCCGCGTTCAAGGAGACGCCGTTAACTCAAATAGCATCGTAAACGACACGGTTTGAACGGGGGATGGGGAAAGAAGATTCAACCTCACCGCGCGCTATCGCGCTCGCTACGACTCCGTGCGTTCCTCTTCTCCTTGTAATAACGATTGTCTCGCCTTCCTCAGCCTCGAATCGTCGGGATAAGCCGACATCGACGCGAAAGTAAACAATGGACGGTCATGACGGATATGCCCACTCCTGCGAAGCTGCGAGCTCTATATTAAAGGGGCTATCGCGCGCGATCATTAACTGCTATCGGTTGTATCTCGGAACTCAATATCAGTGTGAGATCGTGCGGTAATCAGTGCTCAGTATGGAAACGTCATATCAGCGATATCAATATGCCTCGGAACTAGGATAACCAATGTCAGTCTGCGACTTGGAAGACAGATGAATAGACTCGTGATATATAACGCGGACGCATATCGAAAACGGGTGATTTGATGATGACATAATTTTGCAGTATATTTCCTGTTACTCTCTCTCTCTCTAAATTTTTTGAAGTAAAATTTTACTCAAAATGAGTGAAAATTCACTCGAAGCGACAATGAAAATACTACCACTTGAAATAGCAAGGGTGAATGTCTCATTCAAACTTAGAGTAGATTCTGACTGAATGTTTCAATTGATTGGAGTGAATTTCTTCTTGTGACGATGAGATACATCAAATTTACTTTCCAATTTTAAGTTAAAATATTCACTCATCGACTCCAAATGAAAAATTCACCCTACATTCGAGTGAAAAATGTGACTACTTAGCGATGTCACACACTTTGGTTTTCCAATAAAATTTTACTTCAAGAAATTTAGAGAGTATAATCCACTAATAAATAATTGGATTTCTTCTTTTGTTACAACATAAGACCAATATTATAGCCGATATTCACTCCTATTGAGCAAATATCTAAGAGCTTCAATACAAGTTCCGTTTAGTTCTACAAGACCAATTTCTCAAAAAGTGTATGACATTCTCGTTTCTTCCAATTTCGAATCGTGACATTAGTTAACGTTCAAAAACGGATGTATCCTTATAATATCTCTATCGATAATGCAACGCCACGTTGTCGCGTGATCTTGTGCAGCACGCGGTTACAATTCGGAACCACCACCGTTTCGGCGTGGTCAGTGATTGGAGCGAACAAATGGTCGCTCGGTCAAAAGATATTTCTGAGATGTCTCATGGATTTGCCGATCGTCGTTGATAACCGTGCATAGTGATATCTAAACACAATTGTCGCGATGCGACAGCATACACAATCGGTGTGTGCACGTGTCTCCAGCGTGAAGCAATCGAAGAACGAAATTATTGCCGCGGGTATTCGGTGTGCCTAACTAATGTCTGATTGCGCGTATTTACAGAAAATATATGACCTACTTCGCTCGACGATCGACAGCGTCGATATTTGCAGCTTCGATCGTTCGACGTGTCGCCGGTTGTATCGCTTCCTCACTCTTTCTTTCTTTCTTTCCTTTTCCCTCTCTCTCTCTTTCTCTTCGGGGCACATAGTAACGCTAAGGCGAGCGGACAAAGACTACGAAGAGCTATAGAGCTGATGAAATTGGGGAAAGATGGGAAGGTAAGATAGCGGAAGAACGGTAAAACCATTCTCGGATCTGTTCGAGAGGAGAAACTGCTCCTCTTCTTCGGAAGAGCTTCTCCTCTCTTTCCGAGCTTACCGTCGCTCGCTCCTCGTCGAGCGGTCGATTAACATATTCCTACTTAGAATTCAATCGCGTAGGAGATCGTCGCAGGAACGCCGTCGTCTCCTCGCTCTAGGAAATAGCCGCGGAAGGGAAAGGCGTGTTTACAGCGAACCTGGTGCATCACCCTCGTTAACGTTCTCTCTTCGCTTCTCGCACATACATACACATTTTCTCTCTCTCTCTCTCTCTCTCTCTCTCTCGCTCGCTCTCGTTTACTCCCTTTCTCTATTTACACACTTCCTCATACTTTCTTTCTCGCGCACAAAACAGAGTCTTCGAGATTGTTCAGGCGCATGATGAGTGCCGGACTGCCAGCTGCAATGCATGCCGTCGCTCGCAAGACCGCGCTGTTCTTCTCGCCGCCCACGGAGATGAGGATCGGGGTATGATAAGGACGATACGAGTCCCGGGAACCAAATCCCAACGATTCGCCGTCCGACGTCATCATCCTCGTCGTTTACAGACGCGTGCTCCTCTCCGTGACCGCGACCGGCCGGTCTTCGTCGTCCTGAGCGACGGCGCGGTACTTGCCGCGCACCGAGCTGGGCCCGAAGATCGGCGAGCCTCAGACAAGATGACCGTCGATGTCGGAGTATGTCGGCGTCGCAGCGAACGTCGAGAGCGGGTGGCTCTGGCAAGGTGGCGGCGGCGGCTGCGAGTGCTGCGAGTGCGGGTGCGAATGTGGATGAGGGTTCACGCCGCCGGCACGGGCAAACGTGGCCGGCGGCGGCGGCACCGACGGCGGTATCGGTGACTTGGTGCCGGCGGTCATCACGGTGACGTCCGGCGGCGGCACTGGACGTGGTAGCGTCCTGGTGCGCGTCAGCGTGCCGGTGCTACCCGCGACGTGTCCCATTATGTGACCGGTCGAGCCCATGGACGACGGGTAGTAAGGCCCGCCGGTCGGGTCCCCGATGGAGGGTGGCGCCGGGCTCGGGTTGCCATCGTAGCCCATGTAGCGGCCATTGTCCATCTCTACGCTGTAGAAGCTCACGTCGTTAGGCGGCGCCGGGCTCGGGTTGCCGATGTAACTCGACTTCGACACTGTAACATTAGACAACAATAATGTGATATACATGGTGGTATATAACGTGGACAACAGACGCAGGGAGACGCGGTAACGTTACATGCTGCTCGAGGCAGCGTATCGACAATGAACAGTCGACGTGCTATGATGGGAGACGCGCACGAGTAGCGCCCCACCACCTTATCGAATCGAGATGATCGCGCTCGCCTTGTTATTTCTTAAGCCGCTATGTTTCCGACTATCGGCGGCTGGAAACAGCGAGTAACGAACTCGATAGAAAAAGAATAAACTGAGAATTCAATGAAAAAAAAGTCATTGTGAGAATTATATCGGTGAAAGTTAGAGAAGTACTTAACCACTACAAGTAATCGCACTTTCGAGCGAATTGAAGGTATAAGTTGCACAAGATGATCTTCGTGAAGAACTTACCCGAAAGAGTCCCGCTGGCGGTAGTTCGTTGCGGCGGCGAGTCCATGTTCATCGACGTCTGCATGTGATTGCTGCGACGGCTGAGGGTGCCTTGATGCACCTGCATCTCTAAACCACCTTTCCCGAAATCCTGCATAGTTTGATCTATTAAATACGTGCTAGCTGCGGTTTTGCGTCCCTCGTCCTATCATGCAACAGAGTGAACGACGATCGTTAATTCGTGACTTGCGTCTCGACGTTCGCTTGTTTGTGCACTCAGGATCGCCGTGAAACGAGTCCCGGTAACGATGACGACGAAAAATTGCCAATGAACTGATAATACAATCGATACCAACATTGAGTGCCATTCCACTCACATCAATTATCGCGTTTTCATTGAATATTATTTGTGCATAATTCAATCATGACCTTATTTTATGTATAAAAGCATGTTTTTTATATAATTGGATTTTCACTCGTTTTTCTTTTTTTCATGTTTCACGTCGCTCTTTATAAATAGTATATCAATGTAAGCTTCGATGTTTCTTCTTATACCTTAGATCTTTGCCAATGAAAGTATGAGTAATGGAGTGGAGTGTCAATAATGTAAAATGTTTGCGACATTTCTATAGTTATTCAAATAGCAAATCGATTAATCCAGCTGTCATTTCGTTACTCTTACGTCCATTGTGCACGAAAGTTAACACTACTGCGAGAGAGCAAGACTGCATTCAATGAATACGAAAGCCACGAGACTTGTTTCCGTTAAGAGAATTTGTTGCAATGTGAAATCTTGCGAGGTCAAAATGTTGTGAGTGTCGATCACGAACTACTTTCGTCGTAACGCTACTTAGCGCGCTTGAATTTAAAAGATATGTGCATTTGATTTACCTGAGTTACCTTAGTTAGGTCGAATTTTCTGCATTCGGATGACGTATGGTCATTATGAGGTCATGGCATGAATATATGACGATATATTTATGAACGAGTTTTGTACGAAAATCAAGATATGTTAAATCGCGCACCGCACAAAACTGCAAAAATATCACGTCGACACTGCCTTTATAGAAGTAAAAAAGAAAATTTCTTGGCTTTGAATTGTTAAAGTTGAATAATTCAAAAGTCGCGCTTATGGTGGAAGATTTCACTAGGTATAAATAACAATTCTCGCGTATCTCCTATATAATTAGTAAATAATAGAAGAGTATCACGTGCGCTTAATGTATACGACGTTAATTACTCTTCCGCGTGCAAACGGTTAAAAGATACGTGAAAGTCAGCGAAGTGGGAAAGTGCAAGTATCGGTTAATACGAGCAGAAAGTGTCCCGTTATCAACCATCGCAACCCATCGCGTTATCGGAGGACAAATCGCAATACCGCGGCAATAAGAATCGCGAGAAAAAAAGGAACCAAACGAAAGGTAAAACGCAAAAAGAAGAAGAAGCGAAAGATTAGCAAAACGCGAAGGTCGGAGAACAGAAAAAGTGTTGCTAGAACTCAAACCTACCCTCCGGAATTACTTGTTACTAAGAACATACTGACTGATGGCACTGACCACGTAATCGTTAGCGTCGAAGTTAACGTCGCTCTTCTCGTCCGACATCGAACTTAATTCACCGGTCATGGTGTCGCCGTTGACGGTGGACGGTGCGTACATATCCGCAGTCTGCGACTTATTAATGCCTGTGCCAAAGTGAAGAAAATGCGTGGTGAACGTGTGAATGGCGTGTGAAGGTGTGAACGAGCGACTACGACCTCACGGAGGACGAATCCGCCTATCCAGCATTGATTTGATTCTTTTTGTCTTTTTTTGTAGAATCAATTATTGCGCGTATATTTTTTATATGGGTATATAATGTAACAAACCTAATTAATAAATAACTTATATTTATACGAATAATCATACTCTCAATATAATTTTTAAGTTAGGATAACTTCTATATCTTCGTAAAAGAGATGGCCAATCCATCTATGATCGACCTAGTGTTGGTCGTTCAAATCGATGCAACGAGAGACGCTCACCATCTTATCCTCTCATCGATATTATAAGATGCCGAGCTTCCAAAGTTTCGATACTGGGTCGGCAACTCATCTTACCGCGTAGCCGTAGTCAAACGCTAAAGTGAACAGCGCGATGATCCTTCTATAGTTCGGAGTGTGTGATCGCGCTAAAATAATCTTGGTCGTGAACTTACGAGCTTTATTTCGCTTTCGTACTATGTACCACAACATGATGAAGACATTAACGATAAAAAAGATGACGGAAGTCGCTGCGAACGTATAGACATAATTCATCGGAAAGTCGCCCTTTTCCAACAGGACGTCCTGCAGGTTTTCCTCTTTATTCGGTCCTAGGGAAATAAAGGAAAAAAAGGACACATGATAATATTATATTTACCAGCACGCTGGGCCTTCTTTCTCGACTTTATTGTAGCAAAGACTATGGGCGCGGCAATGAGTAGGCAAGCAGAGGCAGAAACAGTGATGATAATGACGATGATGTAGGAGGAACTATTCTCACTTGATGTCAACTCGGTTGGTGGCGCCTCGCCTGTAACCCAAGCCAATGCCCCATCACCGGTTTGTTATTCATGCACCGAGTAGATCTACATTGTTAGTCATGTTCAACTTCGACATTCTGCAATCGCTGCGAGATATGTTTGCGTCGCGAGCAGTTAACACGAGACGAATCTACGCGAAGCGGATACAGAAGGAGTCGAGTAGCTGTCGTTTACTCATTCTTCTTGTCCGCGTTACACGGAAAAAGCAACTCCGTTAGTGTGACTGAATTTTCTGTTATTTGAGAGCCAAATGGAAAAACTCGTAGTAGAAACTCGGTTGTAAAAACTCGGAAAAACTCGGTTGTAGAAACAGAAAGATAACATAAGATGTGGCTTATATGAGTGCATTGCAAATAATTGCGAAAAGTTTGTAATGTTTAAGCATTATTGTGATGTGAGACATTGACTTATGCGAACTCATGTTAGATGAAACTGAGAAGAGTTTGCAACATGATCGAAAACGTTACATGTAATTTTATTTAGAATGTATATTTTGCATCTCTTTCTTTTTCTTTCTCTCTGCAGTAGGCTCACATGAACCACGTCTTATATTATAATTTTCTAAGAAGACCGAGTAGATCTCTGTGGAGTCATTCATTTGCAATTACAAAGAATCCTGTTGAAAGTTTCTCAGTTACCTCAACCGAGTTTTAATGCAGCTGAATGTTCAGACGAATGTTTTCAGTCACAGCAACATTGTAATATTACCTCTCGTCAATAAGTTTTTCGTCTGATTTTTATTCGGTTACACGAACTGAGATTTTTTTTTCGTATATTAGCGGCCTCTTGACAGATGACAAACGAGCAATCCCTACCGGCCGATCGTTTTTCCGCTCAGCGTGAACCCGCGAAGATAATGTCGTGCGCGCGAACGACAATTTGCGCGTTTACGTCGGCTCCTTTACTCTCGACTTACTTCGGCGTGTCGTCACGCTCGCTGATACTTTGTGCCATAAGCCTGTTGTTACTTCGCCGTATTTCACCGTAAGCTTCCGCGATCACTACTGCAAGGAGCGGGAGGCAATTGATAACGCCGTCGAAAAAATTTCGAAGCTAAGCGTCGCCACCGTTTATTATATACCGTCACGATCGTACGAACAACTCATGCTGAGAGCGGATCGCTCGGTTATGTGGTTAATCCGGGATTATGGGCGACTTTGAAATACATTACGTCAACGTAATGTCCGGCGTACACTTGTTATAACTAACCCATGATGTAAATGCCATGCGAACATTCATGAGACACACTAAACGTATATAATGTAATACACGATGAACCTAATTACTGAGTATGATTAATTATGTGGATGCGGGCAATCGCGTTTAATTATGTTCGATGATCTGCATAATGATTTAGCAAGCCGTTATTTTCCACCATGTAGCGTGAATAATGATCTACTATTTAATGTAAATAATTCGCTCTCCTGAGGGGAAAAGTTGCCGAACGACTGTAATTTCGGTTTAAAGTAATTTCTATAATTCCACCGTGCGCACCGTCGTGACCCGCCGGCCGCGTTTTGTTCGTCGGCACAAGCCGATGATAAACCTCGAGGTACGACCACACCGAAATTACAGCGAATAAACTAGTCAGCATTATTCATACGAATAATATTAATACGCGGATATTCACGCTATCCATGAATATCGTTCGACAATGTTAGATCTTTGTCCCACTTTTTCGTTTTCTACGGAAAGATTCTACGAATTTTCTCTTTCTAATGGAAAAGCGCGGGCAGAGGTACGTGTCTCTACGTGTGTACACATATGTTGGAGTGTGTGTGTACGTGTGTTTGTCTCTACGGTGTTTATTATTTCGACTTACGAAGTGTCTGGACTTTAAGGAGGTCCGGCAAAAAGCCGCTATCCCCTTTCTCGTTGATAGCTTTCACGCTAAACACGTAATAAGTCCCGAGAGACAGGCCGGATATCGTGGCCTTATAGTCGCCGGGCGAGACGTCGAGGTAGTGATAGCGATCCTCGTAATCCAGCGCCTGTCTCCAGCGTACTTGATGGGATGTCGGCAGGCCGCCGTTGAAACCGCGCTTCCAAATCACCGTGACCGTGTCGTGGGTGACGTTGTAGACCTCCAGGTCGCTCGGCTTATCTGGCGGCGACGTCACGTCGAGGTGTATGTCGTCCGTGGAGTATCCCATTTTGTTCTGCGCGCGACACTGATACTTTCCGTAGTCCTGTGACCTCACATGGTAGATGGCCAGCGTCGTCTCTGAGTAGAGCTCGGACAGCTGAGAGAAACAAAAACACGATATAGATCCCTGATATCCCGTCAACACGTTGACCGCCGCCACGTTGAATTCACGTGCGAATTCCACCAAACTCGCGCGAACTCTCAATATGTCACGTCAATAATATATCTTAATATTTAATGATAATAATAACAAAATAATAATTTGATAGTTGATGATATTTTTCGCTTTTTACCCGGCATTCTTTTTTAAATACTTACGGTGAAAAAGATTGCTTGAATTTACAACTAAGCGCTTTTTGATTGAAGGAACCAGAAATTCTGTTTCTTTTAACCAAAATACATTTGTCATTGTCGTGTTAATGTAGGCAATTTTTTTCCCGTGTAGTAAAATCGTTTCTAATCAAACAAATAAAACTGTTACCCACAAATGGAATAGAGAAACCCATAATGTCACCTAGATATAGCAGACATATAGTACTCAACATATTAAAAAAAGCACAATTGTCATCTTCCGATCTCTGGTAATCACAGCTCGTTCAATATTTCGTATCGAGTACTTTAGGAATACTACAATCTCGTACGTAGACTTTCCAGTTGACTCTTAATGAACAGTGCTTCTTTCTTTTAAAGAGTCAAACGTCAAAACAGTAATATAATCTTTGACGGTAAATAATATCACTCGCCGGCTGCGAGACAATAATTCTACCGAGGTGGAAAAACTCAATTGAAATGAAATATAGAATAAGATCGACAATATGCGCGGCGCAATGCCTGGCGCTAAGGTCTCAAGTCAAACGGCGCTCTAAAAGAGATACAACCTCCAGTCGGGGAACTCGTTATTTAAGAGATAAGTACACCTTATAAAGTGACTTACATCGCTGTGAGTGATACTGTATTTATTCTCGGTTGCGTTCGGCAATAAAGTTTTCCCATTGAAGATCCAAGTGAAACGTGGCAATGGAGATCCTCGCGCTTTACAGAACAATTGGACGTTTATTCCTTTGTTCGCAGCCGCCTTTCGCGTCAGCGGGGTGTTCGTCATTTCCGGTTTAACTGCGCATAAAAGAGTACCAGTAAATCCTTTATTACGCGCTTTCCGATACACGCTCACGTGTCGCGCGTACCAATGCATCCTCGTGACGCTTCGTGACATTCAGCCATTGTCGCGCGCGCGGTTTATATATTCCGTAAAATAATATTAGCCGGTTTTTTATCCCCCCTCTCTCTCCCTCTCTTTGTCGAGACATGCACGGTTGAGCAGAGCAAGCATTCTTTCCTCGACAAATGCGCGCCCGATAATTAATTGTCGAACAGGCGGAATTAATATCACGCGTAATAGTAACAACGACACCATTTAATTACTAACTCCGGTAAATTGAACGGTAGGTTCCGCCAACTTGCTGGCGTTTGTTACTGACTACAATGGCAATACCGACCAATTATTTTTTATCGCACGCAACCGATACAGTTTCGCACTTTTTATACATCAGACTCGTTATAATATACTATAAATGTACCGCTGGTTCTTCCGTCGGCCCGAACATCCCCTGTTCCCTCTTTTTTAGAAAACACGATAGGCGGTTTGCCGTAACAATACGGCGAATCGCGCCATCGTTCGGACGTATGACGATTAAATCCCCGGATGATACACGCGGCGCAATTAAATTATGGGCTGATACGCGATAATTAAATCCCGTCGATTCCGATCGTAGTTCTCATCGCGCCGCTCGTACTCCTCTCTCGAGCACTACTACTGACGGCGCTGCCGATCGGAATAATACAAGTTCGTACGTACAGTTCGTGATGAAGAGAATGGGATCCGACGTGACGTTGCCGATCCCGTTGTTGACTTTGCACCGATACTCGCCGACGTCCTCTTGGCTGGGATCCTCTATGTGAAGGTACGACGTGCGGTTGACGAAGGACGTCGAGTAGCGACCAGGTAGTTCCGGATTCGATCCCACCTTCTGCCAGGTGACGTACTCGTCGCCAATCGGACTGCCGTCGACCTCGCAGAACAACTTCGCCTCGATACCGGGCGTATAAACTATCCCCGACGAAGAGGTCCGCTTGATCTTGGCAGGATCTACGGGGATCATCGCCAGCGAAACGATAAGTTCGGATTCGCCCGTCGGAGACAATATCGGGGAATGCGCGAGAGATGAATGAGACACGATTCTACATCCTTCATACATAAGCGTTAGAATATTGAAGAGAGAACGCGTGAACGCTCTTTTCAACTAAAAACAAAAACAAAAATGCTTTTTGATTAAGGAAAGGTTAGATTGAAGGAGACCGAGCACAAGAAGTGAAAAAGGGAGTAATGAAAAAGGGAAAAGAAAACTAAAGGAAACCAGAAAGAGGATAGAAAGTGGCTTAGAGGACCTATGGGAAGAAAGGAAAATTTAATGGAAGCTAAAAGGATGCGAGTAATTAGTTAATGTAGAAAATTGTTGTTGATATAGAAAATTTAGGAGAAGAAATACTTATTATGTATGACAGAATGAGGGGGAAAGTTAGAAGATAATTATAAAATAATCTCGAGGATGTAAGCTTCGGGACTGATCGATCATTTTCCGAAGTATCAAACCGAAACTTCGCCTTCGAGGCATTGCCGAAACTTCGCCTAACGAGATCCCAAGGTTGTTCGAGGGGCGATGCAATTTTGTCGCGATTATCAGCCGTTCCCGGGAACGGCGTTACTTACACTGCACCGTCAAATTCAGCTGGTAAAAAGTGGTGCCTTCCTTGTTGAGCGCCTCGCATATGTACGTGCCGGCATCGTGACGATCCAATCTCGTGATATTCAGCGTGGAGCCGTGCGCGGTTATTCTCTTGCCGCTACTGCCAAGCGGCAAACCGTCCCTCGTCCACGTGTACTCAGTCGTGTTAGGATTCCCCCTTGCCGACACAGAAATCACAAAGGGCTCGCCCTCCAGCCCGGTCAGGTCGTAAGGATCTAACGGCGAGAATATCGGCTTGTCTGCGGAACGAGAACAATGAATGAATCTGTGACATCTCGCAAACGTCATCGCGATATTTCAGTTGAGATATAATTGTCCTGTGAGAAATCGCAGGTAACAGGATGTATTTCGAATGAACGGAAAGCGGCACCGCGGATATGCAATCGAGTCTTCTCGGAATTGTTTCTCGATGAAACCAACACCGTGGTGGATCGTTCAGTGCTCAAGTTTTGTTTTTTAAGAATAATCAGATAATAATAATTACACAGAGCTTTACTGATCCGTACATGAAGTTATCTGGCTGGCAAGGTGATATAACTAAAGAAGAGGTATGATAACGTCACAAGTGGAGCGATCGAAAATAATCTAAGACGTTGAATCGTATTGCTTTCTATTTTTTAAGCAGCTGATCCTCTCTCTATAATGATCGCAATAGCAAATGCTCCGGCACGCTTCAGTTGCTTCGGGCCATTGGCGTGTTATCGCGCATATTACCGTATGAAATGCACTTTTACATACGGCATCGCAGAATTTCTACGAACGCTTAAACCTGCTGATCCAGCTGGAAATACCGAGAGAGATGGACTCTAAGTAACGCGCTATGTTTTCCGGGTTGAGCATTCTCTCCCCCCTCTTTCTCTCTCTCTTGCACGCGCGCACGCACGATCGCGTTTTACGTGCATGCGTGTCGATGTACACCGGTAAATTATGTCGTTAAAGCGATACTTAGGCGTATACTTACATAACACGTCTAGAGTGGTAGCGTCGTGGATGGATCTCCCCAATTCTGTATTCTTGGCCTCGCAGGTGTACACCTCGCCGTTCATTTCCTCGGTTAAGTCCAACGCGAGTTCGACGAACGAGACGAAGCCGCCGTGTAATCCGGACTTGGTGCCGTTCCTGGTGCCGGGCACCGGTATCCCGTTCTTCCACCACGACATCTCGGCGGCGGGATTGCTGCTGCTCGACTCGCAGATTATACGTCCCTCCTGGCCGGCGTGGAAGTCCTGAGGCTCGCGGTTAATCTTCACCCTTTCGGGCGGGACTGCGAAAAAGGACAGTTCGCCGTTAATATCGCTCTCACGCCGCGCCGCGTCGAGATTCGACGATGACGGCCGGATAAAAGGCCGGAGTAATTACGGCGCGCTGCCTCGATCATTTCTGCAACGTTGCTGTGTTTCTTACTTTAAGCTCTAGTTTCTCTTTTTCTCTCTTTCTCGCAGAGCGATTAAGCTCCGACAATAAAAACGTACACGATGATAGGAGTTTGATATATAAATACATATAACAACAAATCTCGATCGAAATATAGTTTTTAGAGAAGAATCCAATCATGTAGACTTCAATATTCGAGTGTTCATGTAGACTTTAATATTCGAGTTGGAGTTGAGTTAAATTTATGGTTTATCTTCGAAAGTAACTTTCCAACATTTGATATTGTAAAATGTTAAACATACTTTATAATTTCTCGATGCAGCTATACTCGTTTTAAGGTTTATTCGTCTCTTTACGTTAATATTAATTACGTTTTAAACACAAGCGATTTTTTCATTTTGAATTGAAATTATTTTAATTAAAATTATATAAATATTGATATTGCGTCGGCAGAATATTCAGTACATTCACGGAAAATATACTGAAATTTGACGGAAATGATCGAGTCGTGACATGCATCGACTATGGTTTCCTTAACGTGTTTTCGAAAGAAAAGTCGTTAAATGTGAGATACATATTATACACTTACAGTTCACTTTTAATACGAGAATTTTTATCAGAGGTATCTCGGTGGCTGAATTCGTCGCTTCGCATCGCACATGGGCGTTGTTGTCGGAGGCGTTGACGAGTATCGGCAGCTCACTGGAGACGGCGTGATTCCGCGTCCTCACTGTACCCTGAACCTGTTAGATAAATGACATTATTATAATGAAGTCGGTGGAATTGAGATTTATAGAGGCACAAATCGTATAAGCATTGTTTCTGATAACTGACATTAGGCCAATCAAAAAATCCAGTTTGATTGACATCACATATGTACAGAGTGTCCGAGAATTCATTATGTAGCTGCGGTGTACAAGTAAAACTCATCAGACTGAACACAAAATTTTTCTACCATTTCGCAAACAAACACAAAAAATCGATTTTTGTCATTTTTTGAAAATTTTTTCTAAGTCCCCTAGAAAATGACCGGAAAGAGTGAAAATTCGACCGAATTTCGACTATACCAGTACTCGACGAGAGAAGCATTCTGGACTCTACTCTGGAAGACCGATTTTTGTCATTTAAAATTTTGAATTACTAATTAAAGAAGACTGATGAATGATCAGCGATAAGGTGATGAGCTGTGTTAGCGACGTCTGTCGTCATGTGCTCGTAGATTAGATCAAATCGAATAGAAAAGTTCCCTACCATTTTGCAAATAACCATGTAGATTTTTAGTTACTAATTAAAGAAAACTGGCGCATTATTGTGGACAAGCATGTACCAATCTTCTTGAATTAACCAAAATCTACGTGACCATTTGCAAAATAATAGAGGGCTTTTTTGTTCAGTTTGATCTAATGTAACATAGGCAACAATGTTGATAACATCCTGCTAACAGACTGTTGACGAAGGATCGTAGACAACAACGATGATAATTTGGTTGTCAGATCTCATTTGTCTCCCTTGAATGAAGCAAAGTCAAACTGAAAAGTTATCTCCAGCTGAACCTTTTTTGACTGATCCGATAAAATTCCCGGAAAATACACATTTTTTCGCGAAAAATTCACGAGCGCCATCCGCGCAGCAATCCGCAATCTGAGGATCTGTGACAATCGTGTTCTACGGTTTCACCTACCTTGCGATCGTTCTTGTACCATGTTAACGTGGCCAGTGGATTACCCGCCGTGGCGGTGCACATGAGCCTCAGCACCGTCCCGGCGGATATCGTCGTGCCTTCCTCGTATCCGGTGACGATTAATTTCGAAGGTGGATCTGCGAGGTCAGACAGACGTTCATCAGAGTCGGGATTTTTGCCCGTTCTTCGCTCGTTAGAAATTTTCATGTTTTTTTCGCGTTTCCGCACGCAGTCCGAGCAATATTTCCGTCAAACATAGAAGAGTAGAAAAAGCGGTCGGACAGAAATTTATATAACAATGGAGAAATTTTTAAACCGCGCGAAATTATAGAAAAAAAGAGGAAGCGAGAAACACCAAGTAATTTCTTTCCTCGAGGTTTATCACGTCTGCATTTTGCGCGCTCTCTCTCTCTCTCTCTCTCTCTCTCTCTCTCTCTCTCTCTCTCTCTCTCTCTCTCTCTTGTCTGTTCCTGCCTTCTTTATTAAGTTGCCTCCATCTCCATTGCCGGTTGGCATTCAATATGGGAGCATATGATAAATAAATTTCAGGAGCTTCATCGAATCCAGCTGTATGATCCACGTGAGTGGCATTCATTATGACTTCGGATTGCGAGAGCGATATTATTAATTAGAGGCTAACTAATTGTTTAGTATATTCGGATAGCAAATAATTTTAATGTATGTAATTACAAGCTGCAAAACATAGTTGATTATTCAAGGATTATTTATTTACGACGGAAATTAATGTCGATCGATTACGGATATATTGCGAGGGAATGTTTCACGCGGCGTGACGTAATGTCGAATATGTTAAATGAATTTGGACCATCTGACTCCTCTTCCTCTCCTCTCTCTCTCTCTCTCTCTCTCTCTCTCTCTCTGTATCTAGGAAGGGAGAGAGAGAGAGAGAGAGAGAATTAGAGAGACGGTGAGGATGTATTGCGTGTGTGTACGCCAGGGACCCCGGATAATGCGGCGCGGTCAATTAATTTGTCATCGCGTGCCGAAGATGTCAACGACAACGGTCGGCATTATCGTTACCCAATTTCCCCTAACGCGTTACAAATTGATCTCGCCGACTCGAAGAAGCGAACGTGCGATATCCGTAATTTCAGCGGCGCATTGTAACACAGCCGAGGTGAAATATCCGCGCTTTACGACATTCCACCTCGGAACGCTCGTTACTTTTTATCGTACGACACGTCGTTGGGCGGCTTCGCCTCGATATGTCGCTTCGACGTGATTGTGCATAAATCGCGGCGAAGGATATTACACCACGCTAGAGCTTGCGAGACTGAATATACGACGAGGAAGTTAAAGAAAATCTCTCTACTTTGTGTAATAATACCACTGCCGAAGTGAAGATCGACGAAGACGATAAGCAAAGGCGGGACAGCGCGTCGGGATTTGCGTTTTAATCAAATCACACGTTCCGCGCGTAAAAACGCAGCGAACAGCGAGAGCACTCCTCCTCGGCGAGGGTATCCGGTCGCGGAGAGGTGGTTCGCTACCGCGAATGAAGCTACCGTGGCGCGTAAAGCTGGACAGTACAACGAACGAATAACGAAGCAAACTTTCGTTTTACGATTACAAAGAAAATTGTGCTTGCCTTAACGAGCAGAACGTCTCGTATGTATTCAGATCGCTTCGTTCACGATACGGTTCATTAGAGAAAGCTTGTGAACGCAAATCTGTTACACGTTCGCTGTTCGTACGTTCGTAATGTATACTCAGCTTGAGACAAACTTCGCTCTTCAGCCCTGCTTGATTCGAAATTGACATTTTGCTTTCACGAGAAAAGAAGGGCAGGATGAGAGGAAGGGAGACAAGAGCAATTTATCTAACATATATAAGTGCGCTAAGGAATCTAACACAAAGACAATCGATGATCAGAAAGTCGTTCTCTCTGTCGTATCCCTGGGATAGGTCCGGAACACCCGGTACGGTTCTTTGACGCGGGGTTGAAATTAGATTTTCGCCGCGGGCGGAAGAGCGAAAGAGAAAGAGAGAGGGAGGGAAAACGTGTCTCGAGAGCGAGTCCCGTCTCGTTACACACACGGCTATACGCGGCGCGCATCGGCGCCGAGTGACTGGCACTCTCTCGCGCGAAATTGTACGACACTGGAGGAACTACTCACATATCACGTTGATGGTGTGCGTGCCGACCACGTTCTCCGTGAGCTTCACGTTGGAAGCGTGGCAGATGACGACGATGCTGCGGCTCTTGCGATTAATGCTGAACGTCACGTTCGAGCTGGTGATCCAGCCGCCGTTCGGCGCCGACTCCGTCTTCGAGGCGTTGCTCTCGAAATTATGCCCGTCCACCGTCCACTTGATGTCCGCCGGCGGATTCGAGTTCTCCGTCGTGCAAGTGATGAGCACCTGGTCGTCCGCCTTGGCCTCCGTCGGCCCGGTGATGGTCACTCCGGCGGGCGCGACTGTATCATATGAGAGAGGAGCGTGTGAGGAAGCTGCGGTTATTTCGCGTGCGACGTCGGCGATGCCGCTGTCGCTACTTCGCGAAGACGCGCTTGAAAGCGCGAGCGGAGAAACGAAGGGGTCGAGGTAACGAAGAAGCGAATTATTTAATCTCACTCACGACTCCCGAGCGTGAGTTTAATCATCGCCTGGGAATTTCAGACGTCGCCCGATCGAAACTCCCCCGGCTACTCGTGGAAAAATAGTCGACTTCGTTTCTCTCTGCGCCCGCCGCTTTTTATTCGCGTTTGTAATGGAATTAAGAGAAGGGGGATCGATCGCTTGCGCCAGTTTTTCCATCTCGAGTAGTAGTAGTTGTTGTTGGCTGATTAATCTGGCGCAAGCGAGAGCGTCTCGGAGCTGCGAACGCGCAAAATGTTCGGCGGCGAGAAATCGGCGCGTCGTAACGAATGAGATGCGAAAAAGGATGACGTGCAGTTTTATACGGTCATGAGATTTTACTAAGTAGTCCACCATCGCGGGAGCTGCGGTGGAATTACTCGTGCTGGACGGGAAGGAGGACGAAGGTGAAGAAAACTAATGTCGCCCGCTGTCGTAAACTCTCGTCTTCGGAGTTGGTCGTAAAAGGTATGCGGAATAATGCTTATTGACAGGTTGTCAATAACTGCGGCCCGTGCCGACAGCTGTAGCCCTCGGCCGTAAGTGTGCGGTAAGCCAGCTGCGGGCATTTCGCGGCTCTATCCGTATATCACGCCGGCATAAAGTTAGCAAAATTCCAATTTGGGTAAACGCGAGCGCGCATAGCCCCGCGAAAATAGGGAAGCGGAATTATTTATGCGGCTGTTCCGTCGGCGAGAAGATCGTGCTACCTTAGTCGCGGCAATGCTATGCCTCGCGGTAAAATAATGGTAAGTGCCACGGACAGGTTCCAGTCGGCATTAATTTTCCACCGCCTTAAGTACATTTCAAGTATCACCTGCGGAAAATACGCGTTTCCCAGCGCCCCGGGAGAACATTTAAATAAGTGAAATCCCCGTGCCGGCGAAATTTCACGCTCTTTCTATTATTTCTCGCCGACCCTTGTACGCCGTTCACGCCGCGAAACCGGATCGATCGTATCGACTGGCCTCTTACCGAGTCGTAGATCCGACGTCGCGCTGAATAAGTGAAAATCCCGCAAATCCCATCAAACGCGACACCAACCAAGCGGGCCGAGGTATTTCCTGTCGTTAAAGCCGCGAATTAATAAATAAAGGGCCAATAATAACGCGCGTAATCGCATATAGGATAAACTACACATACACGTGCGCGCGCGCGACGTTAAACACGACAAATTAAAGTCCTCCATGCCGTTCCGATCCGGTATTAATGCACATGGGAGAGACAATAATAACATATAATTATAGGGTAGGGATAGAGTACATACATATATACTATATATATGCTCCGCGTAAGTGACAGGAAGGGAAGGTGAGAAGAAGAGGGGGAAGACGCGGAGGGGCTCCTCGGAGTTTCTCGAAATGCAATTTGCGGCGTTTTACACCGGCGCTACCTCACCGCGAGGCGCGCAATTATCGCACACACTTACAAAGTACGGTGAGATCGACGTGCACTTTCATGGGCTGCACGCTCATGATGTTGGAGACCTCGCATCTGTAGCGCGCCTTCTCGTCCTGCGCTTTCGCCACGAACGAGAGCACGTTCTCGGACGCGCCTCCCTCCGTACGATAGCTGTGCGAGATCTGCTCGTTGTTCCTGAACCAGATAATTTGCGCCGGCGGATTTCCACCGCGTGATCGACAGGCGAGCTCCACGTTCTGGCCGCGCTGCACGGTCTCGCCCTCGGTGTAGCCTTCTATATACGGTGGACCAGGTGGATCTGCGAGACACGCCGTCGGTGACGGCGCCGTTAGAGGCCTTACGAGCGAGCAAGCATGCACTAATGAAACTTATTCGAGAGTGTCCGGATAATTGGGATCGGAAGCCATTCTCGGCGGCGCGACAGGGCCGGCTGTGCAGACGCGGCTAGTTACGGATACGTGTCGTCCCGCGGCCTAATTCGCCGTGTAACGAGCGAATTACTCGGGGCCTTCTACACGTTGTCGCGCTAATTTTATACTGATACTTATGGCTGCAGAGTTTTCAGCGAATCGTGCGCCCCATGATGTGTTTGTCCGTTAACCAGACGCTCCACCTGAGTCGAAATTTTAGCCCTGTTCTCTTTACCTCTGAACTTTTCAACATCTGCATATTCTGAACAACTAATGTATGTTTAATACATATGGAAACTAAATTCATCCTATAGTCATGATCATGGTCTAATCAGATTGATCTCAATCGATTGTTTGGTTCTATAAGATGATGTTATTGGATAAACAACAAGTAATGTAACGCAACGTGGCAATCAGAACTTTATTAATAATCAGAACTGTCAATAATTAGAACCTTATTAATAATTAGGATTCGATTACATCGTCTTATACAAATCAGATAGCTAATTGGAGTCGACCTGATCAGGACTATAGGACTGATCAATTTCTGTAGGTCCTACTTAGCACTTCTAAATGGCAGAAAACGCACAAAATGCCACTTGTAGATTATAAAGAAGTCTGCTCGCAAAATTATCATGATAAATAGAATCAAAAAGATCGATGTAGGCTTCAGAGAGTCAAAGTAAGTGTTAAATGGAACAATGAGATCGAAAACAGAATCAAAATTTCGACTCGGATAGACGCTTTCACGAGTCAAGCTGATCCTCGCGACTTCTCCACGTAATCGAGCAGGCAGAAGAAAGAGAAAACAAACAAAAATCCCGTCACAGTCGTTTACGCGAGATCATTGGCGCGTATCTCGCACACGGAAGAAATATCGTCAAGTTAGGAAATAATTCGTTCTCTCCTCTATCGTGTTACTCGCGTCCGCAAGAAGTGAGTCTAATAATGAGTGCGAATTAGGGATTAATGTCGGCTCTCTCTCGTTCTTTCGGTAATTTCGGTAAACACGTACGTACCACGAACCGTAATTTTGTAGAGCGCTCGAGCTCGACTACTACTCCTATTTTCTTTCTTTTTTTTACTGTTTTTTTTTTACTTCTTCCTCTCGCGTAGACGTATCAGGTGTGCTGACACGCCACGGCGTAAATGATCACGCGAACGATCGTGCGGTACACGAGCGATCGTCCGGTCGTACTTACAGAAAACGGAGAGTTTAATGGTGGCCCGCATGGGCCTGTCTATGGGTATCGCCGGGTGGTTGGCCTCGCAGGTGTAATCCATCTCATTATCGTCCGCCGTGGGCACGATAGTAATGGAGCCGTGAGTGTCGTACTTGAGCAGCTCGTTGGACGTCTCTCCGGGTTTCCCCATATCCTTGTCTGCAACATTGCGCGCAAGCGTGAAATATCGCGATAAATACCGACTATCAGCTCCCATTTACTTTATAGTAGTCGCAAAATTGGCCACACTCTCTCTCTCTCTCTCTCTCTCTCTCTCTCTCTCTCTCTTTCTCTCGTTCAGTTATTATAACTTGTCATTCTCTTTATCGTGTCACCGGATAATTTTCACGATACGACGAGGAACACCGTACCGACGTCCTGTTAACTGCTATTTGCGATTATAAGCGCTGAAAAACATCACGACTGAAATTACACTTAATGACTGCTCGCGATTGTCCTCACTATTTATCGAGCGAGAAAATATCAGTATACACTCGACGCTAAGTGATCAACTGCCACGTCAGGAGAGAACGTTCTCACATTTACGACGAGATTAAATTAAATTAATCCTCTTAAAGTGAATCGGTACAGATGTCGCTGATTGGATCAGTAAAAGGCTCTCTGTCTCACCGACAATCAGTGGTGTATTCACTGATTTTCCGTGGAAGCATTTTACTGCTCCGTCTTATGTCCCACTGATTTTGACCAGCGGAAGTAAGATCTCCCTGTAATATCCGTGTAACACATAAATTCATTATACGCTCTACCAAATCCAACTTTCAGCGTTTGTGACAATAAAATCAGCAATTTGCATGCTCGCTTTGTGTAATATGACTGTCTTGTGTAATATCACTGTCTGTATGTCGCAAAGTGCATCAGCAATGGGAATAGTCGTCAGTATTAACTGATCCTTTCAATGAGATTTTACTACGTGTGACTGCAGTGCTATACCTATAACTGCCTCACTAGCTATGGTTACGTATAGCATTTCAGTGAAGAATATATTGATTGTATTTTAGAGACTAAATAATAAAAAATTAGACTGAATTAAAGTGTCTCTTCTTACCCACGAGATTCAAAAGATATCATCGCAATCGCCGGAATAAACGCGCGCGAAGACGATTCAGAGGCTTTGCATTAATTTAAAAGTGGTGAGCGAGGCGCGAGCATGATGGTATGTAATTTTCATTAGAGTCGAATGCGAGTTGCTGCGAGGAAGATGCGAGAACGCTCGCAACGCAACGCACAACGCGTGTGTTCCTTTAAATCTCCGCTAAAAGCTCCGGACAAGCTTTTACGCGAAAGCGCGGCTCGACAGCTCTTTATTCCGTTCTAGTCTACGCAATGGCGGCGGCGGCGGCGGCGGCGGCGGTGGCGACATACAGTTTTCGGAGACGCGCTGGGTACAAATGCTCTCGGCTATCAACGGTGACGTGGTTTGACTGGATGCGTAGTCGAGGAAAGATTGTTGCTAGCGCGTAACGAGGGGATGCGAGTCGCAAAAAGTCGAGTGACAAAAGAAACGACGATTTATTTTTGCGCAACCTGCATATGCTCCGCGCTGTTCGCAACGTCGCCGACGTAAACGACGTTGCGAGCGACGCATCCCCCGGACAGACGCGCAAAGGGTAGCTGGGTATATGTATGTGTATATATATATATATATACATGTGTACAAACGGGAGGACTCCCGACTCGCGTAGTCCGTTGGAAAATGCAATTTCGAGTGAAAAAGTTCCGGTAAATATATAGATGCGCTTTCGTATAACGAGCACTTCCTTAAGGAAGTTTTCGCGCGTTTACTAGTTATATCAGCTGCGCGCGATAATAACAAAATGAACTGAGAAAGCGGCTTTTGTCTCGGCGCGAGTTGAAAATTGAAAACATTGAAAAAAAGCGCGCGTTTCATCTGCTGCCAAATAATCCGCTAAACAGAAAGCGAATTTCATTTAAATACGGGAACTCGCCGCGACGGCTGCTTATGTGTGTTTTCCGATAATGAATTCGTGTACCGTAATAACCGCGGTGTTCGCGGGATCACGCTCGCTTTTCATCTCGATGCACTCCTCGCGCGCGCGTACGACGGCAATATAACCGGGGATGTTCATAAAACATGCTGCCAAATGTTCACAGCGTATCGGGAAAGTCGAGTCGATGGAAAAAGTAGAAAAGCGTATGCTGTCGTCGGTGCGCCGCCGAGACGGCCAGTTAACCCCAGTCGAAATTTTAACCCTGCTCTCGACCTAAACTTTCTAACATCTGTATGTTCTGAAGCATCAGTGTATGTTTAATGTACATGGAAGCTGAAGTCGTACTCAAGCGCCTCAAAGCGGCAGAAAATGCACAAAACGTCACTTGTACGTTCTACATTGTGAAAAAAAACATGAAACTTATTTGTGGAATATAAAATTTATTTCCGTGAAATAAAATTCATTTCTGTGAAATAATTTCTGTAAATGTGTCTCTTTATATCTTAAAAATACATTTTCCAGTGTTCTTTTCTCAGCGTAAAGTAGACCTCTTGGCAAAGTAAGTAGGTTAAATAGAATCAATTGAGATTGATGTAAGTTTAAGTATCAAAGTAAGCGTTAAATGGAATATTCAGGTGAAAAGTAGGATCAAAATTTCAACTGAGGGGGAGGGAATAAAACGTAATCATCTCGCAATTCTTTCGATCTCTTTCGAAACATACTATTTTTCCATCGCAAACATCACTAGGATTCATTTCACGCCGCGGTTATTCTTTGATATTTTCACGTAATTTAATTTTTAGTAAAATAATTTTTTGTAACTTTTAGTAATTTTAACGTTAACAATGAAAAATTTAAATATTCCACATGAGGATTTTTCAGTTGTCGGTTTAAACGCTAATTAAACCTTTGCGGTCCCGCGTCGGGTTTGTACCACGTTTCGTTTCAGTCGATTCTACAAACCAACTTTTTACTCTCATTAATAGTGCACACAATACAAATATATTATCGCAAGCGTATTGCTGCATTAGTTAAATTAGTGAAACATTGTAATAACAGCAATGTCAAACGCTGAAAAAATATGGAGATAAAAGCGAGTCACGTGATTTCCGTTGCAAAATAAATCAATCCTCACTGATCGATCGGCTGTGAAGAGAAGCCGAAAACGATTCGGGCTACAAAGGATTGATACAACACGTGATCGCAGCAGACACCGCTACGCTTTCGACTTGAAACGCGAGAAGTTTGCGCTTCGCGAACACACACCCGTATCGCAGGCCGACGCGCGGACCTCTTCTCATTCCGCCGCGCTATTTATCGACGTTCTTATCGGGATATATTTTAGCCCCGGTGGCGGTGGTAAAGCGGCGAGAGCCGACCGATGCAGTCGTTTGATGTCTCGTCGGGCTGTCTCCGGCGAATGTAAAAACGCAAGCGGCGACGAGAGGGTGGGATGCGAGCGCGAGCGAGAGACAGAACGTCAATTTCGGTAGTTGGAGCGCGGCCAGAGTTGTGTGTCATGGGATCGATCGAAGATGCTTGGCAACTGGATGCGGCGCTCTAGGGGAGGCGTCCCGACGCCGTCCCATCTTTTTCCCACTTCCAGCGCGCGCGCGTCACGGGGGTGAAAAGCCCCTCGGACCAGTCGCCGACGAAATTTCAGATTACTTATTCGCCACCCTCGCGAACGCCGCGAACGCAACGCCGGACGTCGACTTTGTGTGTGGTACAGATCGTGCTGGTATCCCTATTTCTCTCTCTGTCTCTCTCTCTATCTCTCTCTCTCTCTCTCTCTCTTTGAATCGTAATTACGACGATCAACCTGATTAATTCCGACGAAGATCTATAGCGTCGCAGCAGGCTCGTAATCCCCGCGCGACTCGATACATCACGGTTGTCATCAAAAAATGAGCTCGAGAAGAGCGATGGAAGAGAGCGGGTGGAAGAAGAATTTGCACGCAGAAAAAAGACAGTCGGGGAGAGATAAATGCAAAGTTGAATTCGTGAAATATAGAGAAGCGGTTCTCGTTAATTGAGGATACGATAGGAAACACAGTGCGAATCTGTATTCCCCGGATGCAATTACGGAAATCTTGGCCTTGGTCGTAAAGATCTCCAGAGGAGGACCCGGGGCGCCCAAAGAGCGCCACGCGGCGACAATATTTGCGCTCCTGCGCAATTTAATTAGACGATACCGCGCGCGCGTCCGCCGGTGCCACGCGGCTTATCCGCGCACGTATAGCGCGCGTTCATTTTAATCCTTGTCGTGTAATAACCGTGATATATTCATTCGCGCGGGATTATCGTAATCGAATATCACGCACGTAACAGGATAGTGTCTACTTACCACCCTGGATGGAGATTGCAGTGATGGTGGTGTCGCCGCCCTTGATCTGCACATTTCCGCGATACCAAATGATCGAGGCGGCTGGCTTGGCGGACCGGACGATGCATTCGAGACGCCGCGACTCGCCTACCTTAACCTCGATCTTCTTCTTATTCGGGTGACTGCTGATCTCCACCTTCCGCGGCGGCGCTGAAAAGGAATAGGGAGAATTGCCGTCAAGCACCGTGGAAGTCTCCTCGATTCTCTTGGAATCGCCAATCTCAACTCTAGATTGCCAATGTCAGGCGTTTTGACCCACACGGAGAGAGGATATTACAGTTTTCATAGAAATTTTTTCTCCAATTTTACTGTTTCAACAATTTTTATGTTTCTACACTGAGAAAAGAAAGTATATAAGAAATAAAAGCTATTTATTCAGTAGAAATACTGTGTGTGACAACATGTTCACTAATGTCAAATATTTTTCTAGTAAGAAAACATACATTTTCCTTTAAACTTTAGCTTTTTATGGGAACAATCATTTTCTATTAAAATAAAAACAAACTTAGATTTAAGTAAATATGGTGTTAGTATCTATCGAAATTAACCTTTATTTTTCAAATATTTTTCCTTTCGGTGCAGCAGGAATAGACTGCTAGTGGGATTTATCTTATCAAAGAACATTGTAAATTTCGCAAACGACATAGCAGATATTTTAATATGTATTTCACACAATTCCAAAACAATATAAATTAATTAAATACAATAAATTGCTGCAGAATGCCGATTTATTCCGCAGTTATAAAATTCTATAGCAATTTTGCCTATGAAATTCTCTGTGTACACTGTATACAAGAATTTAATTTAGAAAAATGTTATTGGTATTATTGTATCTCTTTTTTTCTGTAAAAAAATTATTACAAAAATTAGAGCAAATAGTAAAACCAATTAAAAGAGTAAAAATGATTCCATATTAGCAATAATGGACCAATTGCTAATATTGACATTAGCAACTGAGGGTTAATTCAATCGAGTTTAATACGCAAAAGAAATCGCCAAAATATCTAGATTCCACGTGAAATTGCTTTATTTTTTTTTTTAATATGCGCTATGGAACGCGACGCGGAGAGGGAAGTGAGGCGATTCGTCCGAGATAATTCGATGTACCGAATATTCCAAACTCGTAACGATATTCTAATTTAGAGCCGATCTCGTCTTAATGAGAATGAACCGAGCGTCGTCGCGCCTCTTATAATTTTCCGATAATCGATATTAAATATCCCGCTAATTAAGTCTCACGTTGAGGACTCTACATAAGTCTTCGCTGAAACTCAATTAAAGAATAAGATCCTGCCTGTTAGGCTGCCCTAGCAGCCTCCGTGAAAGAACTCGCTTCGTACTCCGAGAAAAGGACATGGCAATTATGCAGGTGACAACTATACGAGTACGTAGAATTAATGTGTATACGTTTTAATAAACTACTTTTGATAGTTATCGCAATTAAAGTTTCAGTTACGATAATTACAAAATTTAATTTTACATACATACATAATTTAATTACAAAAAATAATTTATTAAACTGTATTAAAGTTCTCATTCTGAATTCTTTTTTATCGACAAAAGTGCTTCTAAATATGTTTATAAGCTAATTAGAAGGCTTACAAGTTATATTTAGACACTTTTATCGATAAAAAAAGAGTTCAGAGTATCAGTTCAGAAATCAGAGAGAGAGAGAGAGAGAGGGGGGGCTTCTATTCTAATTCTATATATTCTGAGCGAAAGAATACTTGGAAATTTATTTGTGGGATAAAACTTTATTCTTCATAGAAATGAACTTTATTTCGCAGAAATAAACTTTACTTCACGGAAATAAACTTTACACGAATAAATTTTTAAATATTTTTTCTCAGCGTACAAAACTCGTGCTGTTGTCACTTACAAGTAAACCTACCCAAAAGGTATACTCCGATTTATTTCTAATTTGGCACATATATAGAAGTATAAAAAATTATTTAGGTTATATTTTTTCATTTTGGTCCATTTTGAGTTTCACGAGCAGTTTATAGCTTTTTTAATGTTCTCACTCCTATCATCAACAAGTACAATAAAAATGCATAAGAAATAAAATTGATACAAGATATAATTAAATAATTTTAACAAACTCGGCATAGCTGAGACACGAACCATTCTAAATTTCTTTAGCCGAGATTCCAACCGAAATATTTCAAATCTATGCTAAATTAGTCAAAAATGCTTCGAATCTCGGCCAAACCGAAATCCGGCAATTTTAATTAAAATTTTAATAAAATCGGTATAGCTGAAGCACAAACCATTCTAAATTTCTTTAGCCAAGATTCCAACCGAAATATTTTAAATCTATGCTAAATTAGTTAAAAATGATTCTCGAATCTCGGCCAAACCGAGGAATTATTTGTATAAATAATTTTTTTCAGCTTTTTACATGTTTTGTTTAAACATTTTATTATTTATACAAATAATTTTACACATTTGTATTCAATTTTATTTCTTATGCATTTTTGTTGTACTTGTTGATGATACACGGAAAGAAAAGATTTACTAATATATGGACAACTAAAAATATTAACTGCAGGAGCAAATTTTCTTGCTTTCATAGCAAAGTTATTTAGTTGTGATAGCTAAAAAATTTGCTAGTATGTATATTAGCATATCTTTTAGCTATCACAACTAAATAACTTTGCTATAAAAGCAAGAAAATTTGCTCCTGCAGTTAATATTTTTAGTTGTCCATATATTAGCAAATCTTTTTTTCCGTATAGGAGTAAGAAAATTAAAAAGCTATAAATTGCTCGTAAAACTCAATTGTAAGCCAAGATGAAAAAATATGACTATTCTATCTATTTTTTGTATTTCTACATTTGTGCCAAATTAGAAAGAAATCGGAACTTTTGGAACTTTTGGAACTTAGGTTTATTTGTTGGATAGTTGTCACCACTGTCTTTCTCTCTGAGAACGTGTGTCCCGCGATACATCATAATTCTGCGTACTGAAGTCATATAGCTGTCACTTTATAGTCGCCATTAGTACGTTTTTCTCTGAGCACGCGGAAGAGCTGATCTTCGGCAGCTCTGAAAGCCGCGTTTCCGCGGTTCTGCGGTTCCAAATCATCCTCGAGCCACACACGACTCCGGATCGAAACTGTTTGCCGATCTTGGCGTCGCAAATATACAGTCCCGCTCGGCTAAGTGCGCCGTAGGCGGCGGCCGACTCGAAAACGAATACCGTACGCGGCGCACCGTTAAATCGTTCCCGAGCAAATCGCGCATATCGTATACATAGATTTCGGACGGTGGGTGATAAACGACGCAATCTGCTGATTTCGGACGATCCGCCCGCCCGCCCGCTCGCCCGTGTTTTATAGCGCGAGGCGGCCTCGCGCAAGCGGCACCAATCTCCGCATCGAGTTAATTTAATGTCAGAATAGCGCGCCGCGCGATTTATCGTCGAATTCTATTAAGCGCATATAGAAAACCGTTCTCGTCGGCGCAATAATTATACACCACCGGGTGTGGCTCGGGCGCGTTTAACTCGATCGAACTGCTTCCACTTAAACGCAATAACTCGTGCGCCGAATACGTGACTGTGGCAGAAAATGCATGTAGATTCCACGTGGATAAGGGGATCGTGAACGATAATAACGTGGCGCACGAAGATAGACATTCTTTCGTGCATTGATACGAATTACAATTAGGGATAATCACGGACTATTACGCGATAGAAAGCGCAACCCTCATTGATCTCCCGCGTGAAACAGGTGTGTTTTTGGTAACGCAATCGGGAGGATCTCGACGCGCGTAATTTTCCGCCGGGAAAGATCGAAGAAACGGGGAATACGAGTTCCCCCGCGCGAATTTGTCTTCGACTCTTGGGTAGCTGTACGTTTTCACGTCTTTTTATTTTACGGGGCTGCATTAGCTGGTTTCGTTCGAGGTGGAAAAATACGAGAGATTCGATTCGTGGGAAAATGAAAAGTGAAAAGGTCCTTCGACAATCGCCTGATTGACCCGCTGATTTAAATTTAATTACAGCGTCCGGGCCGGGCTTCTCGTCGCGCGCTGACAATGTAATTTTTCGATTTATTACGAATCCATGACAAATTCAGAAGCTGTCATCGGGCCGTATTATCGAGGGCTACTTGTATATCCATTCAGCCGTTCGCGCGATTGGTCAACGATGTATCCAATCGGTCGGCGTTCCTCGCTATTGACACAGCCGGACACGGCGTACTCCATGTAATATAACGCGTATCTCCCGGATAAATAGAATCCACATTATGAAATCCGCGGATATCTCGCGGAGAATCCCGACGAAATTGCATGAGCGCGGTTAATAAATTCATATCGTACGGTTTTCTAAATAGAACGCAGAAAGACGCGGACAAAGAGCCAACTTTTTCGTGGAGCCACCCCTCACCCCTCGTGCTCTCGAAAATGAACCGTATCGTGCGTGGGGGCGCGCGCAATTACGACGGCTTAACGAGCAAGAAATTGATGAAAAATTCATCGGTGGCAATTGGCGAAAATCTCATCGTCGACAACTCCACGGAAATTCCCACAATCATTCGTTTTAATCGGCGAGGGACTCGATTAAGTTGCTACTGATTACATACTATCCTTCATTACACAGCGTTTGTGATAGTAAAAACTTGAAACACGAAAGTTCATTATAGTCATGGTATAAAACGATGAAAAAGATGGCTCGAAGCACGTTTCACACGATACTCTTCGCGACACATTTCGCCGACACGAGTCATCCCCATCGCACAAGTATGCCATTTTGCGAGGCAAGTGGCCAGACTCTATCTTTACCTCTCAAAAAAAGCTCACACGACCAACCGGGTCTACAAAGGCGACCCGGCTCGATCGAAGAGGTCAAACATTTACGCACGAACGGTTCCATTTTTACGGCACGCCTCGCGAAAGACACTTTACGTAGCCGGACGGTGACAATGAGGACGATGCCGGTGACGACGACGACGACGACAACGACGACGAGGAGGAGGAAAACGGCGCTGATGCTGGTTATCCGGCCGCGCCGTCGTCCACCCCCGCTCCTCGAGTTTATATTGGCAGTCGCTCGGAAATCCTCCGGGGGATGCATGCGACTGCCGAGGAGGAGCGACTACGCCATCCGGAAGCTACTTCGTCACCGCGAACTCACCCTCTCCTCCG